AGTTGTCCTAGAAGACAACCAAGAACAGAACAACCTTACCAGGCATATACCCGGGGTGATCCCACGTCACCCTATCTCTTATAGGTCTGACAACACAACATGGCTGAAATTACCCAATCCAGTCTAGCCCATAATTCACAGAACTACTTTTTCACTTGTGAAACCATCAACACGATCAAACCTCGCACCTATACTTTGAATAGTCCCGAACCAGCTGTAATAACCCATACTTGCAACCTCAATGAAATCACATGATATACCACATAATCCAGCACCTGCAACGATAACTTCTATTCACAGCAGCTGTCCACAACAACCATATACCGATGGGAACCTCTTATTAACTAAAGCCTCATTCTAACACTTCATATCCTATCAATGATAATGAAACACACAGCAGACCGTAACCATTTCTCAGATCAACCATTCATGAAACCACTCCCCTTTTGACTAATACCACAGCAGATTTCCGAGCCAAACCTCGATATAAATCCTCTAACCAGCTGAAATCACATCTGTTCGCATTTATTAATGACTCCAACGATCACCTCGAATTCAACGCACCACTCCGGTGATATGACACCTCATCACCGGCCTAAGCCACCACTTGCATAATCCAAGCACCAATGGTGGGCGGTCTGAACATACTCAAATCATGAAAATGACTCAATGAAAGAGCTGTAACTCAAACTCCTCGGTACCATCACAACACAAGGCTGGGACCCCATCCCACATCATGGAAATAGAATACCTTGACCTACCCTGAACGGTCCAATCTCCTCGTAGCCTCGCTACAATGCGCGATCTTTTCCAAACACTGATACACATGAAGCACCTCAAGTCACCATGCTCCAAATAGACAGCCACGCACAGATTGATGTCTGAAACCAAGCAGTCCATCACACCCACGGTGAAGCTAGTAATATACACCATTCAATCCTGAAAGGACACAACCGATGCGCCATTCGCCGAGCAACACCCATACGGACTTTCCTCAGAAACCAGGAAGCAAGGCATACAAAGTAACATATGGAAAACTATTCTCAACATCACACTGTCGCGGCATGCAACCCGATCCAGATAACATACCCGTGGCGGCGTGCCACCCGATCCACACAAATATCTCACATAGGGAGATGCATATCGAACCGAATTTGCTCATTATAACAAAAATACCGAGTATCGGTCGTAAGCATACTGAGTGCATAATGATATCTATAGCGTTGTAAGCTACAAAACTCAACTTCCACTATGAATCTCGATAGCACCGCAATATATGTGCCCACAGTCCGAAAATCATAACGCCTCACAGCACAGAAAAGCAACTCACAGATCTCCCCAGATCACTAGCAGGTTCAATAATGATCGAATCGACCTATCCTTCATCAATGCAATTCGGGACTAACCAAGCCAACTCAAGCTAAACACCTATCCAATCAGCTTACCAACAAACTCATTACCAAGAAGCCTGAAGCTGCTTCTTCCACTACTATAACTCATGCCGGAGCCGTACGATACAGTGCCCGGCACCAAATCAATATCGAAATCCACAACCACGCCCGGCGACATGCCCGGCCACAAGAACACATCCGAAAAGAGTCCCTTAATACTGGAACTGAATCAATGGTAGAAACCTCTGCATTGACATTCACCACGAAGGCCCAATTAAGAAAAGCAATCCTTCCCAGCCATCCGCTGGTCTTCGGAGTACAAACCACTCTGCTAGAACATAGTCCAATGCACCTCGCCACGCAACCTGTAGCATTTTCCGACATAGCCCATAGCACAATAGTCTAGAATAACCTAACACTGAGACAACCAGTCTACACCCCAATATCATATCCAAAATCTAATATACCAAGCAAAGTAAGATCCACTCAAGCCTCCAAATCCCAATAGCTGCTAACGGTACCAATACACACGATCCACAACCACTACATAGCCTGAATATGAGAACTCCCAGTCTCCAACTCCATATAGTACACGAATCACTGTACCTGATCCCAAATTCCGCCGTATGAATACATATTACATCTCAAGTACCCAATCATTCCACGAAAGATATTCTTAAAATTCCCCTGTGCCATCAAACAACTCAGACATCAGCAGTCAATCTAACAAAAAAGCGCCGCAATACTACCGAAGTATCATCAGTTAAGTCACATTACCCCTTTCCGAGACAAATACTCTCGTCAAATCACTTCCAATCAGCAGTATCATTTCCTTCGTTATCTGAGGCTACTCTTTACTTAAGAGTTTTATGAACTTCTTTTCAGAACTGAACTGTAACTCACCTAGCCAATAACTTCCACTGATCCCATTTGGAAGAAAATCATTACGCATTCCATGTTTCGCATGCCCATAGAAGATATATACATCTCCAAACCACGGTGAAACCTAACAAGAATTCTTCCCCAATTCCATTTGCACAAGCTAAACTGTCAGGACTGAATCCTTCTAACTAGACCAGACTAGACAAGCTGTCAGCACTCAAGAGCTTTGCTGCACAATACCTGTAAGGGCTCATTACCTCGAACACATACAAAGAAATTAATCATATCATTACCATACCGATTCGGTCCACTATCAAGCTATTCCATCTATTTAATTTCCCTTTTGATTCATCATCCACTTGATATTTCTCCCTCGCTGTAGCATCACAATGCGTCAATCCAAGCTTACCACACGACACTCGAACATAAGACCACACTGTCTAAGACCCATAGGCCACGGAATACTCTCTCAATTGTTTCCCAGAAATACCACATTCCCGAATACTTTACTCTGAAGAACTTTCTGCGAGTCTAAATTCGCTTCCTTTACTTTCCAGGTACCGACACATAGGGTCCCATGATCAACATAAAAATACCACAAGTCTTGACATTTTCTATTGAAACACTGTCTTTAGTCACATGCACCACCTTAAAACACCTGAGTGCTACATGTATTCTTGAACACATTAAAACCATTCTCGAGAGTCATTCTCTCTTATTCATCTGCAATTACCTGATTTAACGAACAGAACCACTCGTGCTTTATTGACACTCTGATACCGTAAAATGAGGTCCTCATCCCAATACAACCAAGCAACTTCCTGCTCTATGCACCGAGCATTCTTTACCAACAACAACTCTAGACATTCCGAAATTCTCATACCCTATGAAACATAATATAACCTTTGTCGAAATTTTGCTTCACTCGCCCATCCTCGGCTCAATTTCTGCAACTAGAACCGATTCGCCAGCATACCTCGAGACGTAACCAACATAGCACATAACCGTACAATCAGCTAATCAACAGCAACCTCCCCAACTTGGCTCAAAGCCATATATCAAGACACACTTCACAGCTCATAACACTTTTACTCTAATGATGCCGCAATATTATAGTGAGATTAAACTCAAATCATCTACTAGTTTACGAAAACACAGATCATTTGGTACTGAAATCCTCTACAAACCTCGCATTCATTCCTACATCAGCTGAGTCCACTCTTTTAAGCGACCCAAATTCTCAAATTACAACACGTACCTTTCAATTACACATGGAATCTTCTAACGGACACATAAGGATCATACAACTCAAGAACACTCCGCAGGAGATAACCCACCTGCTTCGCCTCAATTTAGTATTTCAGCACGCCTCCCACCATCATACACATAACACAATCAATTTAGTCTTCCCGAGTCTTAACTCATACCGCCACACGTAATGCATTTCACTCCCAACTAGGAGATACAAAAATATTCTTCACGCGCCTATAATTCGGCTACACATCAAATCACAATAGGAAACGAACCACTTAAAGGTTCATCTATTATCCAGCAGACTTCTTCGTCAATACCAAGTCATATAGATACATCACGTAGTACTAACATACTCATTACATGGATATCTAACCGCCATTCCGGCTAATAGGGACAACACCGACAATATAAATTTCAAACACTTGCTCACACAATCAGCACCTCGGTGCTCAAGCCATAGGCAAGATCCGGCCTCGAGTCCTCCAGACTGGCCCAACATCAAACTCACGGAGATCACATCTCGCCCCTTGATCGGGGAATCACAAGCCATCAAGGCACACCTGATACTGAGCGCTCACGTGCGCACACAATCGCGTGGAAGGAATTTCAAGAGTTTTCTTTTCAAGCCGAATCAAGGACGCACGATAAGAATTCAAGAATGTGAAGTTTTCCTAAAGGTTCTGCAGCCTCTCGAGGATAAATACAGACATCTCCGTACCGATCCGCGGACTCTACTAAACCTGCTCATGACTCGTGAGACCTAGTAACCTAGGCTCTGATACCAACTTGTCACGACCCAATTTCCATACCCGGTCGTGATGGCGCCTCTCGTGAAGACAAGGACAGCCAACTAACCTAATCCGTTTCTTTAACTATTATTAAACATAAATGTATAGATAAATATAGCTTATCGACAATAATAACCAGTATGTGCAACCCAACAAAACCCGACCGGGGTGTCACAAGTCACGAGCATCTAAAGAAACCTGAACACAACTACAGGGCCAATAATAATATATAAGGAAAAATCCTGGAAATCAAAAGACAACATCTGGTGCCGCGAACGCTGGCGGTCACCTTACTCGGCTACAATAGCCATACCTTCAATCAGCTAATAACCCGCTACCGGGTAAACAATACCTGCAACTGCACGCGAGGTGCAGGGAGTAAAGTGAGTACTTCCAACTCAGTGGTAATAAGAGTAAATAATAACTGAGCGGTAAGAAAGCACGTAAAAGCACTCCATCATGCTATATAGGACAGTACCACTCTTTGAGAAAACAGTAAAATCGTGAAAATCCTTTAGAAAATATCTGACTCAGTTTAAAACCTCTTTTGAAAACATCTTTTATTCAACAGTCAAGCAAATGAATGCATAATCAGATAGTGCAAGTCCGCACATAAGTCAGCCCCTCGAGCACAGCACTCCACAAACAGTTAATACCAGGGCGTCTGGTAACAGTACAAGAAATAGCATGGATGTCAATGATATGAGAGTGCTAAATATCATGACACGTAGTACAATCAGGAAACAATGCATGAATGCAATGCAATGCACATGACCGCTGCGGCGCGCAGCCCGATCCATTTGGGTACCCGCGCTCACTGTGGGGGTTCAGACTCCAGAGGGTCTCCTACAGCCCAAGCGCAATATCATCATAGTATCGCTGCAGCGTGCAGCCCGATCCATCGTCAGTCCAGAACATGCAAATGAGCCACTCGGGTAAT